ATCTTATCAGCGGAGGTTCGGAGCATTGGAAGTCCGGGCGAAGCTCGGATCTTGGACGGCATTGCAGGAGCGCAATGTGTTGTTTACTGGAGGCGCGGTATTGAGATAGAATTGCTGCCACGTGTCTTTGTCGCTTTTTTACCTAGGTACCTTGGTGACCATGTGTGAGTTCGTGAAAGAGCTGCTGGGTGTCTGCTGCTGGTGTAGTCGACGTAAGAGATGTCAGTCGATTGCGAGGGCTGGCGCGACGTCAAGATCGAACCGTGATCGAGAGCCGTCCGTCACATTACATTGGACAGTACTGCGCCCCTACGTTATTACAGTTCTGGCAATGCGCTCCCGTTGTCACAGCGTCTCAGTGATGTTTCGACCGGCTAAAGGGCTATGATGCACAGTGAATTAGGAAACCTGCAGCAGACTACAAGTGCGATGACTGAGTGACTGCACCCGTCTGAGGTGAGACCGTGCCGACCCTCAAGCGTCAACGCGGCAGACAATAACCTGCTCATGAGCATGTGGGATGAAGTCCGTGGGGTGTTCACCTGCGATTTGCAGGATGTGCATGAGAATTGCTTCTGCGCGAGTGCCGACATGCCGGGCATGTAGGTGTGGTGCGCAAACCCCCAGAGGGCAGCTAGCGCAGCTGGCGATCAATCGTTATCACCAGACAAGGTGTGCAGGGCGTGGAGAAAGTTGAAGCCACTCCATAAGACGGCAGGCCGCAGCTGACGATGCGATGGGAGAGCGATTCGTCGTGTTCGGGAGATAGCAGGTCTTTGTGCGATGCGCTGGCAGGCGTCGGTTCGTGCCTGAAATGCGCCTCGGGTGCGTCAGCGTTCCCGTCCAGGGCTGGCCGGATGCAACCAGGCAGCTTTGTCGGTGGCAGTCTTCACAACGTTAAACCTCGTCCATCGTCGACTGCAGCGCGTTCAAATGCCCACGCTGTCTGCGCGCCACAGCCCCCCTGTACCGACAGCGACAGCTCACTCCCCGCGCCAGGCCCTGTCCAACGGCCGCACGCCGCGTACTCATTACAGCAGCCTCATCTACTTACCGCCCATTCGCACCCGGACCTGCCTGCTGTCCAGGCCCCAACCAGCGAAGACGCGCCGGAGCCCGCGCAGGATGCCACGAGTGCTGCGGCCCATTGAAGCAAAAGCACGTCCATGATGATGCCTCCGACTGCATCCACTGCCGACGACCTCGACGGCTTCCAGTCCTTGACCGGCGTGGCAGAGAGTGCAGAGCCCACTACGTCAACGCCTGCCCGCGACGACCCCACGAGCAGCACCACCGCCCCAGACATGTCGGCTCCCATGCGTCAACACCCGCTGGCTGCCCAGCGCCCGCCCTTCAGCGTCAACGGCTCGCCCTCGCCGCGCTCGTCGCGAGAAGCCTCGCCCGCAGGCCCTCACCACCGCAGTGCCACGCCCTCTGGTGCCAGTGTGCGGCCGGGCTTCCGCTCACGCAAGAGCAGCGCCGATGCGAGTCCCAGCCGCGGCTCCAGCCTGTCCAACTCGACTGCTGCCCCGGGCGTGCAGCGTGCTCTCTCCTCCACCAGCATACCGGAGCTCACCCCAACATCGTCGACCGACACGGTGCGAGCCACACGCGCTTCCAAGCCATCGTCAAAACCGAACTCGGGCGACACGACTCCCCATTGGCCCCTCTCACCGCGCCTCAAGTCACCACCGCCGGGCGATGACGGCCGCTCTCGTTCGCGCACCAACTCGCTGCGTTCGCAGATCAGGAAGCCCGAGGCCCAGTCGACGCCCGCTATCGTCGTCCAGAGCTCGTCCCCAGCCTCAGTCTCTCGCTTCCCAGTGAGAGAAGACGTGCCCGTGAGCGACGTCGACGAGCCACCAGCCCAGCCACAGACACAGCCTCAGCAAACCATCAAGGCGCCCTCGCGCAGTTCCGGCGGCGCGGCTCCCAAGCTGGCAACGGTGCAAGAATCTAGCTTGCCTGCCACACCCGGATTTGATGGTCTAGAGCCGCAAAGGTACGCTTTCCCCGCAACGGCCCCACTGTTTGTCATCGCGACGCACGTTAGACTATCGACGGAGCCAATTTCCGCTGCCATCCGCAAACTTTGTTAACCTCGCTCTTAGCTTTGTTCCCCCAGCGACTTCCCACAGAACTGACCAGGACCGAAATGACGTCAATTCGTCCAAAGTCACCGAAGACCTCAGCACCAAGCACGACACGTCCAAGCACACTGAGAGCGGGAGCGACAGCGCGACCAAGAGCGCCAAGAAGGGCAAGATGCAGGAACAGCGCTCCGCCTACACTCATCGTCCGCACACCGTCTCGGCCAAGCCCTCCCTGTCCTCAATGTCGACGCGATCGCGAGACCCGCCCCTCCGCAACATGACGGTCGAAACCGAGACCGTGCCCTCTGTCGCGCAGCCGTCAATTGTAAACCAAGACAGATCCGCCTCAGGTCGCGTCGACGGCGGCATACGGCTCAAGCCCAGTAATGAGACAATTCGTCCCAAGACCCAGAAGAAGGCCCCCAAACGGAAGGCCGCATCCATCAATGCAGGCACTGGTAGGTTGCAACACATCTCGTACCACTATTACATTCCACGTCGGCCGGAGTACGGCTCTCGCTCCGGCGTGCACCCGTCCTTCGGCAGCCCCGTCTCATACCGCTCATATGACGACCGGCCGTCTTTGTTGACCTTGTCACCCCCAAGTCCAGCGTTGAGCATGGCTCCTCCCCGCCCTCCCCATCTCAGCTATTTTTATTCAAGCACTGACTCAAGTTATCGTACAGCGTCATCCAAGGCAGATGTATTCGAACAAAAGGTGGCCAGCGCCGTCGACGAGGCCGACTCGTCTGACTCGGACGCTACCTTTATCTACGAATCGAATCCTCCCGAGCAGCCAACTCGCAGCCGCCAGCACCACTCGCGAACGCCAAGCATGACGTCGTTAGCCAGCCTCACAGACCCACGACTCCAGATCCGCGACACGCACAAGCATCCAAGCAAGAAGAGCAGCATCAAATTCACGAACCCATACACCAACGCGAGCATTGATGGCGATGACCGCGGCGAAGGTACTGTCCGCATCGGCTCCGGACGAGCGGGCGGAGGTAGCCACCATCACCACATTGGAAGACATGGCCAGGGTCGGGGCGCGCTCAGCCACATCACCATGGACAGCGACAACTCGGTACCGCAATCTTCGCGCGCACGTGGCCCGTCCTCCAGACACGCGTCGCAACCGAACAGCCCTCGCTTCCATACTTTCAATGTTGGCAATGGTCACAGCAACGGCAGCAAGAAAAGTGGGGAATTCTCTGCAGCATACGATATCGACGCCGAAAACATCGCCGATGATGAGCGCACACCTCTGATCCAGTCTGGGCGGAGCCCACGGGCCCGCACGCCTCGCCAGCGCAACACTGCCACTATTCGCCAACTAGAGCGCCGGCATCACCGTGATGGTGGGTGGTGTCGGCGGTTCGCTGGCTGTCTGGTTCTGTCGATCCTGCTGCTCGTCGTCGTATTCTGCGCTGTTGGGCTTGTCTTTGCAACAACGAAACCGCTCACTAGCCTTGTGGTGCGAGACATTCAGAACGTCGTTGCAAGTCAAGAGGAGATTATGCTGGATCTCATAGTCAACGCTGTCAATCCCAACATTATCGGGGTCACTGTATCCGACATGGACATTTCGCTGTTTGCTAAGAGTAAGCATGTCGGGTCGGACAGTTGGTGGCGCGAGCACGGGAATGGCCCACATGACAATATAGAAGATTGGAGACCGATCGAGGAAGACGCAGTTCCAGATATCTCGATTACCGGTGTAGACGAGGGAACCGATCCTATCGAGGGCGAACCACGGACCATGTTGCTAGGCCGCATCGCCCACTTCGATTCGCCATTAAACTTTGAAGGTTCCTTTTTCCAGCGACACCGCGCCGAATCTATTGGTGAGCTCCGACTTTCGCACCCAGGGAACAAGACCGAAGCTGGTGGCAGCGAACGTTGGGAAGAAGTCCTGCAGTATCCCTTCGAATTAATCGTGCGAGGCAACTTCAAGTACACACTGCCCCTCAGCACGCAAGAGTTCAAAGTCCCTGTCACGGCAACCCATTACTACGACCCGGATATCGAGCGCAAGAAGAAGCTCGACTTTGCAGAGAAAATAGAAAAGAGGAGGAATCCATTACCTGTATCAACAAAGCCTTGGGGACGTTACGACCGCAGAGCCCTACCGTTCTGGAGTCTCCTATAGCATGTCCTATCCTGTATCACAACATTGCCCGAACCAGAGGGGCTAGCACAACCGTGTGGCCCCAGCAATATCGCCCAAAAGAAACTGATACCCACTTAAAACGAGTTCACGACACAATAGACTTGTCCCGTCCCGGCAATTGCGAAATCAGCACACGCGTTGCCTTTTTCTTTCGGCTCCACAGCCGTTCACGAATTCCTTTTTCGATCTGCAAACCACCACACACCGCCTCCTCCGAACCGGCTGTTCGCATGCTCTCACAGCGAGTGATTTTGAGCGCCCTTCCTTGACCTTGCGCTTCAGCGATGGTGTTTGTATCATGACGTTTTCTTCTTCTGCATTGCCCAGCTTTTGGAGGACCCAGCCTCCATCCCCAGCGACTTTCAGCGCTTTTCTGGTTTTAGCTTGGAGGTGGATTGCGCCTTGCGAGTCCAAAGACATTCCTTTGATCTCTCTTCTATGTATCCATAATTTAGCCCTTTACTTTTGGTTCCGGTTGGACCTTTGTTCGTTCCCATAGCGGCTAGGGTGGTGCATCAGGTTAGGTATGGCATGGCATGGTATGGTAGGGACTGGAAAGACATTTGCATTGCGCTGGGAGTATGGACATACAGGAATTTATTGAGTTACTCATACTGCTATTCCTTATCTTGGCACCTCCGATGTACTAAATCTCGATACCCAGGTCATGAAGATCGGTAGGTCCTTGCAGGGCAGGCGACCAGACATACTCTAAAAGAGCGCCATGGATACATCTAGCGGTCAGCCTCGCCACCCTTGCTCTTCTTCGCTTGTTGCTCCGCAGTTCCCTGCGCTCCCGTGGTAGCCGCGACCTTACGCTTCTTGGGCGGTGCCTTGGCAGTAGCCTCAGCGTCCGTGGCAGCCTTGGTAGACTTGTGTGCAGTCTCAGGAGCAGGCTTGACCTCCAGAGTAGACTTCTTCTTCTTCATTTGAGCGTGTTCTTCCTTGGCCTTCGTCTCGGTTGCCTTGTCCTTATTCTTCAACTTCTTGAAGATTGCATCAAATTTCCGGTCGTTCTTGCCCACCTTCTCTAAGCCCATGTTGTGCCCGGCGCGGCTGGTATAGAGTTTCAGATCCCATGCTTGTATCTTTCCGGTGCTCACATCCTTTCGATACAGGCCCTCGACCATATACGCATGTTGGTCGTCGTGGAGGAAGTTACACGCTTTGCGAGGACAAGGGAGATTACTAGCGGGATCAAGGTTGTGCCTCTCTTCCTTCGTGCACCTTGTTTTCCATCTTGGTATCTGCTTGGGAGGAGGAATGGACTCAGGAGTAGGGGTTTCCGAGGTAGCTTCCTGTTCTGCGGGGTTGGACTGGCGGCCGGTGTTCTCGTGAGGTCTGTACTGACGTTAATGGCTGCTTTCCCTCATCAGGCTACTGACAGAAGCACATACCGGACTCGTGGCGGCTGCATGATAGGATGGGTGTCTTGAAGAGGTGGCTCCTGTGGATGTGTACCCTCTTGGGATGTCTCAGATTTCTCGACAGCCCCAAACGCAGCCATCATCGCAGCCTCGAACTCATCATCGGGTGCGTCTGTTGCAGACATTAGATTTTGTATCTTCTTCGATCTGGTCAACGTACCATGTGTGTCCTTGGAGATCTGCTCGTAAGCCTTTAGCAGGGCTGGGCTCTTGTACAACTCGCGGTCGGGTTCATCGACTTTGCTGCGAGCTTGTAGTAGTACGTCTGGCTCCAAGCCCCCCAGCAGTTCCTTGGCGGCAACCAACTTGCTCATAAAAGTGTTCACCTTGTCCAGAGCCGTGACTCCCGGCATGTCCTTGAGGGCGACATCGAGACGAAACATCACGGTTGCCGTGGTACCCCCCAGGTTGGAGGTTTCATCGCCTCGACCACCATCCACCGCAGGTCCTAGGTCATATTCCGATGAGGACATTGCGTTCAATTCTATCTGTATGTCAGTTTCGTCGCTTCACTTCGTGGTTACAAAAAGACTTACGAGGAAGAGTTGGGTATTGGGAATTGGGTATGATTAGAGAGGAGCAATGGTAAAACGATCGTGTGGTATCAATCGAAGGAGGCGCTAAAGAGTAGCTGTGGGACGAGGACAGTGCTCTTTGCGGTGCTGTAACGGGAGCCTATCGCGTTTGCAGTGCCGTAGTGGTATCGAAATGAAGGTCTGGAGTCGGCCCAAACACATGTGACTGCCTATAGTCTGTTGACGTTCAGATTCACGATGGGGCGCTTATACACGTCTTAGTCTCGTACTGGAAAGCCGGATGGCTCCGATACGTTCGAATCTCCCCCCATTCTAGTTCCTCATGCATCCTGACTGACACGCCATATTTCCTTGAACGTGAGCCTGTAGCCTAAACCATGCAGGGAAGACTTGGGCTGTGTGACCACGCAAATTCACCATTCACTATCTTTTGCGACCGTAATCAGAGCTTCGGCTGGTCCAAGCGCCAGTCTAGCGCCCCTCCACGTCCTTTCGAATAACACCTTCCACTTTGTTTACTTTTCTTCCTCTTCAGTCGCACTCACATCCGCAAGATGCGTGCGACTCGCAACCTTCGGCGTTCTAGCCTGCGCCGGCCGCTGCCGCTGATCGACTGTAACTCTCAACCTTCGATCTTCTTTATGAAGGTAAGTTCTGGAGATGTCGCGTCAACCCTGTGATATCCAGCTGACTTGATACTTACAGATCGCCGGGTTCTGGCGCACTCGCATGCGCACAACTTTCACGGAACCGAGAGTACAAGTCGACAGACGAACGCGGCTGAGTGAACCCGACAGGTTTGCTGGACCCCAACAACGGCTGTAGTCTTATAGGCTGTGGTTTATGCTACAGTTGGCTGGCCCTTAGCCTTTATGGATTCGGGTTCGGCAGGGTCTATGCTAAGTCAAAGAGAGTGATGGCCTCTTTGACCGCATAGATTGGGGCTATAGTAGGTTCGCAAGTTCACTACCGCTGGCCCCGACGGCTTACCACCACTGAGGTGAGACGCTCTGGCAGATAGTGGGTCTGTCGTCAGGTTCAGTTATGGACAGTCACTGCTCGTATGTCAGGTACAATCGTTGGATAGACAGGATCAGCAACCGCGGCTGCCTTCTTCGTGGTCCTGTTTCAGGTCACAACAATGGTGGTTCGATTCCATCCCACGTGTACCCGCCGCCGGTGTTACCCTTCTCAGGGAAACGTGTGCGGAAGATATCTGCGATAAGAAGACTTGCGGAACTTCTGATAGGTCAAATGACCCACGATACATGACATGCGGGTAGCTGGCTCCCATTATCGACGACAAAGAGACAAGAGATCAGCGGCGGTCGTAAAAAGCCTAAGCTGTTCTTCTGTTTCTCGAACCACGGCACTTGGAGAGGGGCCCATGTGCCACTTTTTGGACTCTCCAAGACCGCCAACCATCGGTGGTCGTACGCCTCCGCCGATGGAAAATCCTATGTCACCATAGGTAAACTTGGTGGATGTTTGTGCTATCGTTGTGCAGGCCAACGTAGTGACAGCAACACCGCCATTGTCCTGAGGTCGGTCTTTTGCACGATGTTAGTCCAGTGCAGACCCAATACCCGAAGAGGTCGGTTCTCTGCCAAGGTCTCGACTCGCGTAGAGATACATACCCAGACTCAGGACTATTACTCGTGGGGCCCGGAGGATGAACAGCAGGTACGTACCCCTTCCCACCTTAGCACCCCTTTGGTATCGTCTTCACCGAGCGTAGAAAAGTCCTGACCGCGGAGCATCTTCACGGATGTCTCGAGGGCCGGACGAGATCTCAACATCTCACCTTGGGCAAGTGTCGAGAGTGCTCGCACTTCCAAGATCAAGTGGCAAGCCATGCGACGCAAGTCGTCTTCATTGGGCATGCCCATACTGCGATTCAACTCGCAGTATCTTTTTCATTGAGTCATTCGCCTTTACGGCGGGTCTCGAGGAAGGAGAGAGAGAAAGAAGGACACCAGCACCATCGTTTCGTACCTACAGAAGTCAGATGTTAAAATGACTCCCAGAAGTGCTTTGCTGCTAAATCGGGGTGTGGTGTGAGGTCGCCATACCCCTTGGGGGGGTTGGGTAAGATGACGTTTACATCCAAAACAACGCTAGCCTGTTCAAGCCTCAGACCTTGGCAACTACCCCCGGGGCCTTCCTTCCGAGCACATGGGAGAACACACGATGCATGCGCGATACGGTTGATTTTGCCATCTACATCTCATCCAGAACCAAGCTATCCCAAAGCCACCCTCTCCACTGCGTCGTCCTCGTGACCTTGACATCCAAACGGTTGCTTCCCTCCACTTTCAACGCGCCTTCCGCGATCGGAATCTCCAGCAACCTCCACTCGCCCGCCCGTGTCGCACCACGATACGTATCTTGGCTGTTCAACAGACTGGCGCTGGTGATGTTACCCACCTTGACGTCGTTGAGCAGGATATCGCAGCTCGAGCCCTGAGAGAAGCCCGCCAACGAGACCGTCAACTTAGCGGCGGAGGTGCTCTTGGAAGGGAAGAGAACAGACCAGGTGCCAAGAGCAGATTGGCCGAAACACCAGTCAAGAGGCGAGCTGGTGCCGACGGTGTAGGTCAGGTTTGCGGGACACTTGGAAATGCGAGCGTGTTCGAATGGGTGGGCTGGGTCCGCGAGCTTGAAGCCGTCGCTTGTGCGGTCGAAGTCGCCGATTTGGAAGATGCGCTTCGCGCTGTCAGTGACCTTCCATGTCATCTCCTTGAGGTTCGTGTTCTTTCCCTCGCGGATCACGACGTCGTTCTGGGTAAAGTTTGTTGTGACATCGCCGATTGCGCCGCCGTTGCCCCAAGCATAGAGCGCGTAGGTGCCGGTACGGATGTCGTGGATGTCGAACTTGCCGTCTTTGTCGGCGTAGGTGGTGTAGTAGTAGTTCTGGCCTTGGTCGAGTGTTGATACTGTTGTGTTGCGGTTGTCTCCAAGGAACACGGCAGCGCCAGCAGCTGGGCGTCCGTCGCTCAAGAGGAGCTTGCCTTGCATCTTGCCGCGAGACTGGTAGGGCTTGTTGTCAAACCACTTATACGGCCAGGCTGCTTCCTCCTTCTCCCAGCGGGCTGCGGCGTCGTCTTTGCTGCCATCGTTGAGGTACCAGAGCCATGGACCCCAGATCTTTCCATCAGCAAATGAATCACGCGCAATGGCCTGGTAATGTGTGCCGTGAATCATATTCAGCTGGACTGCATCGCCCGTCTGGGACTCGCGATGGACCTTTGAGAAGTCAGTATCAAACCGCATACCAGCGAGGCGACCGGATCGAACATACCATGAGCTCCTGCTTGAGATGATCGCCGTTGTAGTAGTCCTTCCCAGGATTGAGGTACCAACTACCCACTTCGTCTCCATAAACACCGTAGTATTCTTGGTCTCGAACAAACCCACTCCAGTCATACTTTGTCAAGAATGACCCGTCAGCCTTTTGCCAGGTTTCATCCTGGACGTTGGTAGCTTGACGGTATTCTTCCAATGCGGGAAGCACACCATCTTTGACGTTGTTGTGACCACGTGGAAACGAGGTGTTGTCGAGACGCCACAAAGTACGGAACTCGCCCAGCGTAGGCAAGTCGTGATTGACAAAGTACTGGTATGCGCCTGGAAGGTCATCGTAGATCACCCAATGAAAGTTGCCCTCCTTCGCCGTAAACTTGACGTTGATATAATCGGTATCCGAGTCCACGATCGCGGCGGATGTCCAGTTCAAATCAGATGCTGCACCATCTACAAGTTGTTAGCTATGCTGTGACTCCATTGCCGCAGCACCTTTTCACACATACTGTAACTAACATAGTGCCCAACAGCATCTCCAACGCGGTCCTTGCCCTTGTACCACAACTTATCGGCATACTGGCGATTTTGCGTAACATTCCAGATCTCATTGCCGATAATCCAAGTCGAGTTTCCAAGCTCTTTCAAAAAGCTCTTGGGCTTCTTTGCGCGCTCCTCCACTGGAGCCGCTGCAGCAAGCGCGGCAAGGCCGAGGAACTTGAGGGCGCTCATGATGATTACAGCGATGCGCGGGTGTACTTGGCGAGGATAAACTTGAGGCCATAGTAACTTTGGCCATTATATACCGCTGCAAGCATGTACGTCGCCCGAAGAAAGCTAACGTGCCTCTCGGCGGAGATGCCCCGAAGTTATTACCGGGTAAGCACTGGGGTCGCGGGGTACCTGGAGTGACCCCGGACAATTTGATCGACAAGAACATTGTTCCGGAACTTCCTGCAATCGCGCTTCTTCATTGTCTAGTAGCGCGTTCTTGGGGCGGTCTTTGCCCGCGCGTGCATCCTGGATTTGGGATGGCGTTCGTGGTGACACGGGTGAGGCTCCCTGCAAAACGTGGTCAACCGCCACAACATTGGGCGAAGAAGCACCGAAATCGTCTTGAGGGCGTTAGGTAGAGTTGTAATCAATATCACGAGGTACCAGCAACCGGGTCGATGCTCGCGGTGATGTGCAAGAGTTCAGGAGGTGGCCGAGGGAAGCACCGAGCGGGACGCTTGCCTGTTGCGGCCTGGAACAGCTGCTACTAATCAGCATTGCACGGGAAATCTGTGCTCTCCAGAGAATCTTCCATTCTTGCGCGAGGTATAGGACAGTCTAATGAAGGCTCCACCGTATGTGTGTGTGTGTCTGCCAACTTCATCTACGATTTCTCTTCCAACGCCTTCGCATCAGCCTCCTTAGGTGTTTGCGTTCCTGACGCAGCTGTCTTCTCACCTTCCACCACCTCAACATGATCCCCGCGACGACGGCCCTTGCCAGTGATGTCGCGCCACATACCACCGAAGTTCCTGGCTAAACTCTCACGGCCTTCCCACAGAGGATATACACCAACAGCCATAGTACTGCACATCAGCCAGATGATGCCAACGATGACCCATCCTGAGAAGAACGACTGACTGAAGATGTAGCCGGAACCATATAGAGGCATTGGCCAAAGTACGAGAAGAACGAGTGTCAGCGTAGCGGTGGTGATCTTTGCAATCTTGGAGGCGCGGAACAGCTTGGCTTGTTCGGCGGCTTCGGCTTCTGGAGAGAGGGCAGCATGGCGGCCGTGCACGGCTTCAATATCCATGTGCGCAGCTGCTGTAACATCCGAATCGTCGACAAGGCGAATGTTCTTCATTGACACCCAGTCGTAGTTGTCGACTCCGAAGATCAGGGTCAGGACCGGGATAAAGATGACGGGCGAAAGCAGTGCGACAACATTGCCAGCCAACATTGGGTTGTTGGCGCCAGAAGTAGCGACAGTGATCACACCGTCGTTCAGCTTGGAGGTGGTGACGAGCCAGGCGGTGATGCTGCAGCAAAGACCCAACACTGGCGACAATGTTGCCGCCCATTTGTTCTGACCCTTCCACATCAATGTGAGGGTGGCTGGAAGCACCGCAGACGAAATGATTACGCCCATGAAGACGTACAGCCAGCCCATACTGATACCTGCATACCAGAGGCCGGTCGAGAATGCAGCCATGACAAGTCCAAATCCACATACGCAGACGTGTGAAGTGTAGACAAGACGTCGGCCACTCGCGCTGGGGTTGATGTAGGTTGCGTAGATGTCATATGTCAAGATGCTAGAGACAGCAATGAGCTGCGCCGAGAAAGCTGAAGTGACGGCCATGAACACGACTAGTAGAGTAGCCACTGCACCGCCAGATCCGAGGAGCGCCACAGCAGCATATGGAAGGGTGAGGCCCGCGCTGATAGAGGCTTCATCCATGCCGTTGGGATAGGTGGGGAAGTACTCCGTGCTCTGCAGTGCCAGAGCGGCGAGGCCCATAGTGGTTGCGCAAAGCCACTGACGACGAGATCAGACGTGATTCGAGATGCGCGTGGAAGGAGTACTTACAGGGATAGCGAACCATGAAAGACCTCCGATGATGTATCCAGGAAGAGCATGAACTGGGGATGCAGCAATAGCCTTGTTGTAGTCTACCTCTAGTCAGTTTCCGATACCATTTCATGTAGAGGAACACTCACATCCGTTGTCCATGAAGACAGTTCCAAAGTTTCCAATGATGTTGATGACGAAGAAGATGGCACCATCTTTGCTTCTCATTGTAAGATAGCTTCCGCCAGCGTTGCCGGGAACGGGGGTGGTTGCCGAAAGCTCCTGCAGACGATCGTACACTGCTTTGGGCGAGCCGAGCCGGTCACCAGTGGCATAAGTCGTGAATGCGAAAGTCAGAAGGATGATGAGGAGAATAACGGTGTGGACGTAATCTGTGAGGAACGTAGCCTTGATACCACCAAACATGGTGTAGACTACGACACCCAGGGGAAGCAGGAAACAGGCTGCGGCTGTAGGTACACCAGTCAAAGAGCTGATGACGGCAGATCCGCCAGTTAACAACATGGCTGTAACGAGTATGTTGGTGAAAAGGCCGAAGGTGATGTAGACAAAATGCGTAGCCTTTCCATAGCGAGCACGCACAGCTTCGAGGAATGTCTATGGGGTGGTCAGATCTAGCTTCACGATAGCAATGAACATGCTTCACTCACATGAGCGTTAGGAGCTCGCCTCTTGAGTTCGATCGCAACGGTAGCAAAGAGCAGGATCTGTACGGTAGCACCAGCGGCGTACCAGAGAGGTCCAGAAACACCTAATCACGATCAGAAATCTAGATTTCATGTGGTGTAGTGTCGAAATGTACCGTAGCGGAACGCGACCGAAGAACTCTGCAACAGGGTAGCTGCCCAAGTCCACGAGGACACTACTGCTGAAGCTACCAAACCAGACTTGACAGTACGACCGGCAGTTGAGAACATCTCCGAAGTTTGCACCTCATTGTTGTAGCGTTTGAGGACCCAAGTGGTAAAGACCTTGAGCTTGTCAGATTGATGCGCTTTTTGCAATCATGTACACATACCATGCCAAGGGCGAAGAGAAAGCCAACACCAAGCACAATGCCATAGCCCCAACCCTGGCCAAGGGGAGAAGCAGAAGGGCCAACAGGAGTACCGCCGCCAGCCATGTCGAGAGATGTAGCTTGGTTCAACGTCAAGCTTCAAAGCGTTGGCTGTCGAACCATTCCAGCGGGGCAGACGAGGTATCTATACCCCAAAGCATCCCCACGATTACCGTTTCCCGGCTTCAGCTCGGTCCCAAGACTGCTATCTCGAACCTTTCAACCGCACACAACCATCTCGTCGATTGGCAATCGGGCCGGCACATGATTGGCTGAAGATAGGCGCATGTCAAGACTAGGTAACGTGTAACGAAGGCCAAGACTAGAAACCTCTCGTCTTCTACGCAATTTTGAAGCTTATATTAGCAATGAGGTCTTGTTGTAGGGCACTTTCAGCTCTTAGCCGACTGGGCGTTGCATGATCGCTCGCCTATGCTGATAACGAACGGCCTTGCAACGGAGGTGCATGGCGCTTGCCTCGTAGTGGCGGGCAGGACCGAATGGCTCAGCGGAAATTTTCTTGCTGAGCCCTGAGTGGCTGATATGTGTGACTTTTTGCTTGGGCAGACGGAACTGGGTCTGGGCGTGGAGATGGTGGGCATGTTGGAGGCAGGTTGGGGTTGGTGGTTTCGATGAGGTAAACGGGAGAGTGAAGATAAGCGATGGTGTGGTAGCCAATGAGCACGCGCTGGCGGTGGAGTCCGAAGTCGGCTTGCAGGAAACGACCCCGGCTTTCTCCACGGTAATGATCGACCTGCATCTTCGCAATGTTGTCGTTACTCGATACCTTCGACACATACGTGCTTGTTCGTCTTGAGATGGCACTTCAGCTGGATCGTGGCCGTTTGCACATGTCTGTGATACCAAAGCTTTGGATCCGGCATCCACGGGCCTCCACCCGCCATCCTCTGCCGCCATAGTCTTCCATTTCGCTATGCGCTCAACACCTACAAACTCGTGAAGACAGCATGGATCTACTCCGGCTTTCGCTGGGAGAATGCATAGTACCCATGTGCGAATAGTAGAGGAGAGCTAACACTTAGGTATGCAGTGTAACCTCGCATTCGGAGTATCGAGGCTACAGGAGTCATTCGAATTGCTGACTCAAAACTGCGGAATAAAATCATACGAAGGAATTTTTACAGGACCGTTACGCCCTGCGACTACATCGAACTTTTCTGGACTATACAAGAGGGCTTGATGTTGCATGCACGAGGTATTTATATTGGCGTCGCACCATGGAGAAGCAATTCGTTATTGGTACCTCATTGGGCTTACGTACGATTGCACAAAGCTGTCGTGCTTGAGAAAGGCCTTTTGCGCAGGAATGAGCGTTGGAATATCTAGGTAAGGCTTCTCTTCACATTAGTGCTGGCAGCTGTCGACACATCGTTGCAATAGGATTAGCAAAGAAGTTTTGTCAGCGCACATTGGGAGGTCTTTGTATACAGAGTAAGTAATAGCTCGTACTTGTTGTGCGTGGTGAGAAGCGAGTGACCCGACTCACGGCTCGGCTGGCGTGTCTATTCGCCAACTTATGACGACCACGCGCAACTACCCCGGCCTCTTTCCTAATTAGGTAGACAGTAAGCGGGAGCTTCGGATGTCAAATGCATATATTCTGAAGAGTTCAGCACGCTTTCTTGGTTTACAAGCTTCCACCAGCATCATGCTTTCCATCTTGATACTCCTCGTGGTTGCACTCGGTGCCATCGCGCACACCACCCCCGACGGATGTCCGCGCAAGGTGGGTGCGGAAGGCGTACAGGTTCGCATACCTCCAACGTTCAATACCACCGATCATGCCCATCACGGCAGATCATGGCGACCACCACCTGTCGGGTTCTACTTCCAACCATGGTCGATGATTCTTGCGTCAAACCCTCAGTATGCCGCGATGCGGAACGTGCAATACGATCCGACTCCGATCGACCCCTCTGAGCCCACTGGACTTGTAAATGACCTCTTCTCATTCCAATTCCCAGGCAACGACACAATCATTACAACATATGGCGTCGATACACCGCATCCCTACTTGCCAGCAGTGCTGGACTTTGCAGCGACTGGAATTTTGGCTGGGGCTACGTGCCAATACAGCATCTTGGTTTGGGGCTGCGACGCGAACAGAGTCCCATACTACGCGAGCTATTCGACGGCAGTGGAGTTCACACAAACGCCCCCGGGTATCGACCTGATGAGTACGAGTGATCAAGGACCCGATCAGGAAACGATCGATGCTGTTTTGAAGGCTTTAAAGCAGCTGGGAAACGAGGAGATCACCAAGTATGTTGTAGCTCTGGAGAGGATGGTGCAGGATGGCGGCAGGAGAGGCATGCCTAGGGTAAGTGTTTGTGTGCTCCTTGCTGGCATCTATTAACGGAGAAATTTAGGCTACATGCGACGACTATTGCAAGACGAATCAGGGCTTGATAGGGATCGGAGGTTGAGGTTCATAAAGTCGAGCTGGCGAGGTCGTGCTCGAATGCCCTTGCTGCAACGGATGATCAACGAGAAGACGTATGTAGTTCTGTGTAATGACGGCGTAAAGTGTGTGAATATTTGATTCTGTAGTATGCTGCTTGGTGTTACCGGTGTCGTGTGCCTGCCCCTCGGTCCCAGTCGCGTGTGTGGAAGTCGCGACCGACGCCGGGCATCAGCGTTCAGCAGTCGCTCCTCCGCTGTGGGTCGCGCCAAGGCCGCCCGGCAGTAGCGCCAAAAAAGTTCAGAACTGGTAGATGCAGGCAGCGCAAACCTCGACGAACGCCGACGCGACCACATTCTGTAGATACGAATTAAATTCCGACACGATGGCGAAGCGCAAACTCAACGAGCACGACGTGCCAGAGGTGACATCGAGCGACGATTCGCAATCCGAGCCCCGCAACTCGCCCGAACCCACGACATCCACCACGACTGCGCCTGCGACTGCAACCGCTGCCACACCGAAGAAGAAGAAGAGCTCCAAGTCAAAACCTACCGCTGAGCCAGTCCCTATAGTCGCCTCATTCGCCGAACTTCAACTCGAGCCCCGTCTGCTAAGAGCGATCCGCGACCTAAAATGGGCATCACCGACGGCAGTACAGTCCCAAGGCATACCATTGATACTGGAGGGACGCGACGTTCTTGCGCGTTCGGGGACAGGTACTGGAAAGACGGGAGCCTACCTTCTTCCCATCCTCCATAAGACGTTGCAACAGAAAGGCCAATCGCTCATCCTAGCGCCCACTAAGGAACTCTGCTCACAAATCGCGACAGTCGCGAAGTCGCTCTCACAACACTGTGGGCAATCGATTCGGGTCCGCAACATCGCCGGAAAGGAATCAGATGTCGTCATCAAGGCAGCACTCGCGGACAAACCAGAGATCGTCGTCGCAACACCAGCGAGGGCATGGGCAAACATCAACAGCTCTGCCATGGCAGTCAGCGACATCAAGACGCTTGTCGTAGACGAGGGTGATCTGATCAACGGTTACGGGTTCGCAGACGACATGGAGAACATCGCCCGGGAGATTCCTGTTGGAGTCCAGAAGATCGTCCTTTCAGCCACCCTCTCAACTGATGTTGAGTCACTCGGCAGCCTGCTCTGTACGGACCCAGTTGTGCTGAAGCTTCAGGACCTCGACAAGGACTCACAGAAGGTCAAGCAATACGTTCTGAAGGTGGCAGAAGACGACAAGTTTCTCTTGCTTTTCGCCATGATGAAACTCAATCTGGTCCATGGAAAGAGGTAAGAAGCGCCGGCATGAACTACATTTGAGATGAACACTGACTTTGTTCCTCCAGTATCGTATTCGTTGGCGACGTCGACAGATCATACCGCGTCAAACTCTTCCTCGAGCAATTCGGCATCAAGGCGATCGTACTCAACTCCGAACTGCCGCTGGCGTCCCGAACACACATTGTGGAGGAGTTCAACAAAGATCTCTATAAGATCCTTATTGCTTCGGACGAAACCGACGTCGTTGGCGTGCAAGATGAGTCGCGGCCAAAGAAGAAAGCGAAGAAGGACAAGGAGACCGACTCCGGCGTCTCTCGCGGCATCGACTTCCTGAACGTCAGCTGTATAATCAACTTCGACTTCCCCGGGAACTACAAATCATACTTCCATCGAATTGGACGAACAGCACGAGCCGGCAAGTCTGGCACGGCCATTTCGTTCATCATCCCGAAGGAGAAATACCGCAAGCATAAGCCGACTACATTTGCTGGATGCGAACATGATGAGGAGGTTCTGAAGAAGGTAGAGCAGCACCAAGAAGAGGGCCAAAAGCTAGAGGATTACCAATTCGACATGAAACGATTAGAGCCATTCCGATACCGGTTCGCAGATGCCCTGAAGTCGGTGACCAGGATCGCCATCCGCGAGGCACGTATCAAGGAAATCCACATGGAGCTGGCCAAGTCGCAGAAGCTGTCCCGATACGTAAGTTCGCCCACATCATTCACTGCTGGCTCAATTTAACATCGTAACAGTTTGAAGAGAACCCTGAAGCCCTCGCGCATCTCCGCCACGACCAGACTCTCAACCATCCCGCGAGAATACAACCCCACTTGCGACATATCCCCGATTACCTCCTACCAGGTGGGAAGAAGCCACAGGATGTTGGCTTTGTCGGCCTGAACATACCAAGGGCGAAGAAGCAATATACCAAGGGAAAGGGCAGGAAAGTGGTACGAAGGAATGGCAAGGTCGATCCTTTGAAGACATTCAATGCGAGGGGTAAAGGGAGGAAATGAGGCATTACGTCCTCGGCCAGCTCTCTATGAATGGCATTCGTAGACTTGCACCAGATCTATGATAAAATACATCAGCGAGCTTTCTTTCCAATGATCGTGCCATCTATAGCTCAGCCATTCGTATCCATGTATTCATCGATCAGTACTGCTCATCTCATCTGTGCATACATGGTGGAAAGACCCAGCAAGATGCTACTTAGGGAAGGCCAAAGGTTTGGGCAAGTGGTCAGACTTCTGCTTGGAGCCTGGATCTTTGATGCTTTTGTGATGCACTTGAGCATAGCTACAATTACATCTCGTATCAATCATGCAGACTTCATATAGGTGCGTGATAGTTGCGTTGCTTAATGCGATGGCATGCTGTATCTGGATGCCGGGCAGGGTGGTGCGGACCCACTCAATCCATGGCGCGTGACCCAAGTCGCCTTCCTCTCCTGCCAATCGTCCACCCCTCCACACTCGAAGACTCTTGCGCACCCACGATCTATTGACGAGCGCCCTGCTAATATCGTCAGCGCGAATGCGACCTGTCTCACACGTCGACCTCCTTTCCATCACGGCCGAGATATCATGCCGGCGACCCTGGCAGCTACGCGCCGCGCCTCGATGCCGCTGGACCTATGGCTTCAAAGTCGCGCTCGATAGATCATCGCATCTCCAGTAATCGCGCTTCATCGTCTGTGAAGTAGCGGTGCCCAATCGACCGTGTAGCGAGAGAGGATGCAGAATGTGTGTATTGACATCCGGATACCGCAGCCTCGAACCCACCCGAATCGCGAAACTCCCGCACACGCTTCGATCGAACACAGCCACTCGGCATCCGACATTCGCCATCTATCGTCTCACGATAGGAGAAATACGGTATTTACTAGACCTATCACGACATTCCAGATCACCAGACTACAAAAGGCACCTGGTCACGTAGGAGAAGTCATTCAATTTGGTCATATATAACGTATTTGATAGTGGGAAAGCCAAATAGACGGTACGCTCACCTGCCGGACCTCGTCAAGGCAAATCTGGAATACTTCGGCCGTTAGTGTCGTGATCTCATAAGGGCAGCTAGAATTCTCGCCGATCGAATGGGGTCAGGCTATTCATCCGCATACCACCAGGAGGCAATTACACCCGCTGAGAAGAAAACCCGCCCGATGACCAGTTGTTCGAAGAGAAGGCGGTCGAAGATGAAGGAGTATACGCCAGGGTTGGCGTATGATTTTCCTGCGCCCAGCAGCTGATCAGTGCACTGATCTGGTCTTCGCGAACTCGGCCAATGTCTTTGACTTTGACGTTCATCTCGATTGGATACACTTTGCCAAATCGGATGCGAGACTCTCTCCTGATCCTCTCGTTTGGCCCAGCAGGCACAACCTCGATTGGCTCTTTGATCATGCCGCTTTCATATTCGCCGGGAATGTAGCATGATGCAGGATCAGTCCCGGAGAAGTACACGATTGTGTGTTCGGCTGGGTTGCATCCGTCCTTAAGAGTTCCACGACCAGAATAGGTACCAATACCGCTAAAACGGATCAGCGCTCTGTCGCGACTTCTGATAGCTGCGCCGAAGCTCACCAAGCGTTTACGAAACCCCGTCTCACATCCACAACGACAAAGCGGCGTATATTAGTGTGCGCGCTTTGCCCAAATCGTATCACTGTGTATGCTTCGTCGTTGGGATGCTGTACGGAGGTGTCGCTTGCTGTCTCCGTGTATAGCATGGCAAATACCTTTCCCACCTTGAAAAACTCGCGCGCTTCCTGACCAGTTCGCATTCGATAAGCTGGCTTGGTGTTAGAAGAAATCTGCGAATGTCTCGAGGTACTGACAAGCGTCTAGACGATCGTACCACCCAGTCTGTGGCGTGCCCGATATGAACCCTTGTAGCGTACGAACGTCTTGGGGAGCTGAAAAGACCAAGTCAGTGCCTGCTTTGCTACCAGATGACTATTCCACCATACCTGGCTCGGGCATCTGCGGCTCTATCGCTGAGTCTTGTCTTGGGGGACGCGTATCGGGCGCGTAAGACCCAGCTTGTTGGACGTTGGCTTGAGACTGTGGACGCCAATAGTAAACAGGGCGGTCTAGAACGGTCAGCGGCTGGACATCAGCGTGAGACGTTTCATAACTGACTGTACTGATCGTATACGACATAGTAGTAATTCTGGTAGTCGTCGCTCCACGTCCATCCTTGATTGTTGTCCGCCATGTCGGGCGATATCACCGTATACTGAGGCTCAAACTGGGCGAATCCCCAAACTTGTCTGGGAACAAGATCGGGTTGGAGTCGCTTTCGAGGTTGGCGTGCGACACCTGTGTCGATGGCTCGATATCCCTGCGAAGTATTATTTACACTTGCAGAGACTGAAGGTATGTCTTATATGCGCAAAAGCTGGGAAAGCGGGAGCATTGCGGCTCTGCTATCCCATGAGGATCAGCAGAAGAGGGTGTGATGCGCGACATGAATCTGGAATGGCACGACTCCACCTCCGCAACAACCTGCATATGCGCTGTATCTGCTTTCCTTGGGATGTCGAGCAGGCGCGTACTGTACAGAGACGCTTTCGACGCGCAACAAGGCGACTTCTGGGCTAGACCGGTTTTGCGTTTTCAAAACCGGCACGGCCCACGCATGTCCTGTGGAATGGGCTTGTACCTCCACGCACCAATCACCCGCACACAAGTATCGTCACCAGATAAGCCGGGATACTGC